AGAGTCAGTTTCCAAAGCAATAGGGATTCAAACCCTTGTTATCAGAGTATTGAGAGTGAGCATCAGTTTCCAAAGAAACAGGGATTCAAACCCTTCTTTATCAGAGTATTGAGAGTGAGCATCAGTTTCCATAGCAACAGGGATTCAAACCCTTGTTTATCAAAGTGTGGAGAGTCAGAGTCAGTTTCCAAAGCAACAGGGATTCAACCCCTTGTTTATCAGAGTATTGAGTGGTAAAGTAGCAGGTGTATTTGAGCGTGACATAAATCAGCTTTCATAGTCACTGGGATTCAAACCCAGTGTAAATAATGGGCTTCAACTACTTCTTGGATATTTTTTCAGTTATTTTCAGATTTAAAAGGCACCCTATACTAGATAAGCAGTGTAACCACAAACTTTTGAGGTAATTATCTATTCTGTCAAAAGTAATATGTACCATAATGCTTGTGAATTTCATGTATTATTTTTGAAGAAATAAGAAAGAGAGAACTTAGTATGTTGAACTTTGTTTTACAGATGAGAAAAAAGGCTGAATGATGGAATGTGAAGCTGATATTGAAAATAGATTCCCACCATATCTGGAGAGGTGAGAATATAAATACTTTGATGGATAGTGATTTCAGTGGTTATTTATAGCACTGACATTTAATGAAATAAGAAAAGAAAAAAGATTCAGAAGTCAACCATGGATGACGAGTCAAAGAAAAGCTTAAAAACATCACGTTGTTCAAGGTGTAAGGAGCCCCTAGAACTACATGCCTGGGGAATACCCTCAAAATAATGCAAAAACATACCCAATCTAATGAGAAAACATACTCAAAGTAGATAATACAAGGGTATATTTTTGACAATATATTTAACATAGATCTATTTTATCAATTTTAGGTTACGATATGATATCACTGAAAATGCCCCATGGAGATATCACACTCTTTTGGCAAGGAAATCAATGTAAGTATATCTTAAAATTTTTTAGAGGTAAAGTCAGCTATTAGGATCGTAAAGGTTTTGTTGCATCTTTGTATATTCATCATCTGTAAATAATGTCAGCACAACAACGTATATTGGAGAAACATGCAGATAAAGTTTGGTAAAATTTTCATATCATTGTGACCTTTTGCTAATTGGATTCACATCACTTATAGTGCAAGATGCAACAAAATCTTTACTAGGGCCGTTTTTGGAATACCTGTATATAGATTAATACCATCTATGTAGGGTTGCCATTGTACTTGATGAGGGAAGAGTGGTTGAGTGAAACTTTCGTAAATTACCATGAATGCAGTAACAGAGGGACAAATATATCCTCCAACCACACCCAAAATCTCTTGTTCCCCCCCCCCTCCATCCACCAATCCAACTCATTCTACAAATCTTTGTATTTCAGGGTATACTTGTGAATATGGAATATTGAATTTAACTCACCTTATGGTTCCAGCATCATAAACTGTACGTGTAGAACCGAGCTTCTGTAATCACCTTTATGGTTCCAGTATATAGACAATGAACTGTGCAAACTTGGATACCAGAATGACATCCCTCAGAACTTGTATTCACATTTATTGCTCCAGTATATAGACAATGAACTGTACATGTATATGTACCAGAATGAAATCCCTCAGAAGTTGTAATTCACCTTTATGGTTCCAGTCTGGTCATCGAGTCTGCATGGAATTCAGGAAAACCGTGAGTCTGTTCTAGTTTATTGTTGATGCTGTTTCGGGCCTCCATTTCAATTGGCTTCCATTTCCAATTCGACATTTTTTTCGGTGTTTTTTCTTTTTGACGTTAATTTTGGCCCTTCATTTTTTTCGGCTGCGATTTTCTCTGTGGTATTTTCGTGATGTGCGATTTCAGGATAAGGATTTTGTGTAAATAAGTTTTAACTGGCGATTTTTTCGAACTTGGTTTTAGGTTCTGGAGATCTTTCGGATATCTCCAGCTAGTTTTTATGAACTTCAACTACATAATAGGATAGTTAAGCTTTCTTTCTCCGGGAGATCTTTTGGCTATCTCCACTGTCTGCTTCTCTTCTAAGAAATAGGGTTTTGGTACGGCTTTCGGAGATCTTTCGGATATCTCCGATCTTAGGACTTACATTTCGGACTTGATTCGGCTGATTTTCGGTAGCATGTGTATTTATATATCTATCAGGGTTTAGACAGTGTAGACAGTTTAGCATGGTTGTAATCAGGCAATTGTTAATTCCCTTCTCCCCTACTTTTCGCTATGGTTTTAATATGGGTTAAGGATTGATTTTACTGAATAAAAATGAAATAAAGACATGCAGCGTTTGCGCGCGCATTCGAGTGTGTGTGTCGGTTAGTTGTGGAGTAACCCCCACCTTGCCGCTGTTAGTTGGTACCGCTAGTATTAGCTAGTGGTGATGATCCCCTAAAAACTTAGCGTTTGGTTCTCAAGGCGGTCTACAGGACCTTGCCTATAAATTCTAGTATGGCTTGTGATTTGTCGGCTTCACAACACCCCAATTGGACACCCCTCTGTTGGTTTATACAGAGTGGGAAAATCCGCTACGATGAACGGTAGCCTCCACGTGGCGTAGCGGGGAAGTAATTGTCATGGCAACCAGTAAACTTGTATTTTTGATTGATTGGCTCTTGATTAAAGCAAAACAGTTGACTACATTTGACATAAATTTGATTAAGATCTAAAATCAGGTTTTAAAATGTTTAGAATTAATTTGAAGCAAAGAATTGTTTGCAATAAATTTATACTGGTAGCAAAATTATGGCAGTTATTACGAATAACCGTTCACCTTTGATCGTGCGCGTGTGTGTGAGTGTGCGTAAGTGTTTCGCACATTAGTGGGTTTATGCACATTAGTGGGTTTATGCACATTAGTGGGTTTTAATTAAGCACATTAGTGGGTTTAAGCACATGATCTTTAAGCCTCATACAACTCATAGCGCTGCAAGAACGGATGATGATGATGATGATATTGCGCATGAAAAGTAATATGTGGATATTAACAAACAACTACACACTTAGGACACTAGAGAAAAACCTTTGCGCATGCGTGCCTTTCAGCACGTTTTCTAAGAATTTAGAAGAGTTTGAGTGAGAAAATAAATGTTCGTTCTTTCCGAGTATACCAAAAATTTCGCGAGTATACTTTTGTGAAATAAAGATACTGTATTGATAAAGATAATATGAAGGAATTACCCTTGAGTTTCAAGCATGGACACTTAATTTTACTAATTTGCAATTTATAATCAAGTTTCCGTGATCAGAGTTTTAAATTCGGTGATTTCTAGCCTGAATTTGTTGAGCTTGTGAGACATAGCAACGGTAACTAAGGGGAGTCAGAATCAAGAATTATCCTACCACTAGAGTTTAGAATCCATTTCGCATATCTTTATTTTTGGGACTCGCACATTTCTTTCCCCCACCCACCCAACTCAGTGGTGTAAAAATGCACGCATAACTACTCGATTCCGCAGGAATCTGTGGGTACCGGTGTAGTTTTGAGGACTGGGTGTAATTCCCAGCTGAGGGAAGCCGGGAAAGAAATATTTTAATGGCTTTTAGATTCTAAATTGTTTGAAGTGATTGTCTACTGCAAAAAGAACCAAAAGAACCTTTGAGTGTCAAACAATTATAGAAAGAATCTATTGTATTACTGCCTCGTTCAATTGTTTTATCATCCAAAAGGTCCTGTTTTGGTCCATGTGAACGAGTGCGAACCATTACAACATTTAAGCTCCAAAAATCCCCATACGTTTTCGCTTCAGCATTTGGTGCTGAATCCCGAGTGAAAAATAAACCAAGAGAAAATGTATGGCGATTTTTTAAACTAAATCAAATGTCCAATGTCTTCATTTTTACAACTCTCAACAGAAATTACTAGGTTTCCTATGATACATTGCGTGACGCAACAAGATATATTTCCTCATGGTAGAAGAGTCAAAAAAGACTTGCACTAATGACATTTCACTTTCTAAAGAAGAAAACATCGTGCCCAACACCAGGTGATTTGGAATCTAGGCGCGCAATGCATTGTTTGTCACATCGAAAATTTCTAAGTATTATCATTGGTATTTTGTCAAAACGAAATATTTTTCACCAAAAACAAAATGCTATCTCTAAACTTGTTCTTTTAAATAATAAAGCTTAAATCAATCTTGTAAATTGACCAGCACACGTAGGCACACTCGTGGATAATGCCTGTAGGAGGGTCGGAGACACCTGAAGCTAGTGGCTCCCCGGGCTCAAAGATGCAGAAAGACTTCAGAGCTTCACAACCATCACAGCATTTCCACCAGTGGAACAACCAAGCGCCTGCCATGATCAGTTCGACCACCATAGAGATAACAAGGAAACTGCAGAGAGCTGCAAAGGACTCCTCGGTTGTATCACATGCAACCGCTATTGTCAGGCCTATGCCGGTCACGATAAAGACAAGCTCGAGAACAGCCAGTAGACTAACAAGGAGCAGAAAGAACAGAGGTCTCCGTATTTTAGCGAGCGAATTCAACAGATAACAGCTGCAAGAAGACATGGTCAGGCTAATAACACAACATAGGATAGTAATGGCAGTAAACCCTTGTCTAAGGTCGTAGCCGACCCCGTGACTGCGATCCCCCAGAAGAATAACACAGGTAAGCGTGAAAGCGGTCATGATCATACCAGAGAAAACGTGAGCGACACTCCATCGTTTTGCACGTGTGACGTTGATTTTTCCTCGTTTGATGCCAAAGTTTCCATTCCTATAAGCATCATGGTAAGGATCGTCTTCAACGTCGTCTTTTCTATCGACAATCACTAATGGCTCGCACTCGCATTGTGTACCTATGTCAGTGAGTCCTGTTTGTGAGTAACTATCGATGCTTGTGACTTGTACAGATTGTTTCTGGTTCGACTCGCTATTTGCTTCTTTTTCCGCCATCTTAACTCAGCTGAAGGTCCACTAAGACCACAGGGTGCACAGTAGGAGATTATGGGAACTAAAAATGTCAACCCATGGCATTCACCCACCCATCAATCCAACGATCTGTCCATCCATCCATCCATTATTTTCGGACTGATACTGATACGATACTGATCCCCCCCCCCAATCTACATGAGTTACATGACATTTTAAAACAAATTATCTCCTTGCACGATTTTTAAAAAATACACTCAAACTGTAGTTCTGTGTGGAACTTTTTATATTTTTTATTTCCAAAACAAACATTACTCGAACTCACAGCATGTCGACCCACTCGCTCTCCCTCTACTACTGTCACGTGATCTCTCGCGTGACCTCTCACTTGCTGTCATATAATGCAAATATACTCCAAAAAGTGATTAATACTCAAGGAAATTCCTTATATTTCATCTTTTTTATATTTTATTCTATAAGTTTCTACAAGAGAATATGAAGTAAGTTACTTCACATTCTCTTGGTTTATATTATGATTTATTACAACTAATTTGTAAGTTTCTTTCATTTTGCTTGCAATTTAATTGATTATCTTAAAAATTAATATTAACTTCTTTTCGATCTATTTTACATGCTCTGAAAAGTTAGTCCTCAAGCTTTCTCAGTTCACGAACAAGCAAATATTAATATAATAAAGGGTATCCAACTCTTAAGTATAATTCGATTTATTTTACTAATTTCTTCATTCATTTTCTTTGAGTTACAAATATTATGGTTTAATTCATAATCATCTATCTTTATTTTTAGGAAAACCATTCTCCCTGACCGGTAATTTTCGTGGTCATCCTGAATTGAAAACGGATTCAGGAGAGACTGCAATATATTCAGTTCTTCAGCACACCGATCAACGTTTCATTGCGTACAGTCTTTACATGTAAATATTCTCTCTTAAGATTATTCGATTGGTAAACCGGAATAACTAAAAAGACATGAAATCTTGAGGGTTTCTTGACGATTTCAAATAGTTCTAACGGTCTGAGAAGATAGTTTCTATTGATTGATGGAAGCCAAAAAAACTTGAGTTTTGAAGTTGTGGATGAATGAGAAACTTTATATAAAGGCGACGCTTACAGTTTTCATGATTGTCTGATTCAATGATGCAATCAGCTGGTTTATTTCGCGTGGCTTCACCGCGTGTTTCTCTAGTGTGAAGTCTAAGAAGAGTTGTGTGTTAAAAATACTTCCTGCATTACATTCACTCGTGTTTACTTTCTAAAGAATAGAATATGCTGCGCAGCCCCACAAGTTACAAACTTTTTATACTTTTTTATAGGGCAAACACAAATCATGCAACAGAAAACCAAGTTAATCTATTTGTTCTGCTAAATAATAAAGTTCCAATCACCAATCAACCTTGTAAATTGACCAGCACACGTAGGCATACTCGTGGATAATACCAGTACGAGGATTGGAGACGCCTGAAGCTATAGTGGCTCCCCGGGCTCAAATATGCAGAAAGACTTCAGAGCGTCGCAACCATCACAGCATTTCCACCAGTGGAACAACCAAGCGCCTGCCAGGATAAATTCCACCACCATAGAGATAACAAGGTAGCTGCAGAGAGCTGCAAAGGACTCCTCGGTTGTATSAMATGCAACCGCTACCGTCAGGCTTATTCCTGTCACGATAAAGACAAGCTCGAGAAGAGCCAGTAGACGAACTAGGAGCAGGAAAAACAGAGGTCTCCGTATTTTAGCCAGCGAATTCAACAGATAACAGCTACAAGAAGACATGGTCAGGCTAATAACACAACATAGGATAGTAATGGCAGTAAACCCTTGTCTGAGTTCGTAGCCGACCCCGTGACTGCGATCCCCCAGAAGAATAACACAGGTAAGCGTGAAAGAGGTCGTGATCAGAGCGGAGACGTAGTGAGCAACACTCCATCGTTTTGCACGAGTGAAGTTGATTTTTCCTCGTTTGATGCCAAAGTTTCCATTCCTATAAGCATCATTGTAAGGATCGTCTTCAACGTCGTCTTTTCTATCGCTAATCACTAATGGCTCGCATTCTGTACCTACGTCAAGTTCTATTTGTGAGTAGCTTTCGCGATCGATGCTTGTGACTTGCACAGATTGGTTCTGATTCGACTCGTTGTCTGCTTCTGCTTCCTGCTCCGCCATTTCAACTGAAGGTCAACAACTAAGACCACAGGGTGCCCAATCGATAAAAATAGATAGCAATGGTATTTTAAAGACCCATTGCCACTTACCGTGATGCATCACAATTTGTTTACATTTTGAATCGTGTCTCAACTGAAAAAATAATTCCAACATTTTGAATAAGCTCATAAATAGTCCCTAAAGCCGTAAAATAATGTAAAAGAATCATTTTGTGCCTTGGTGCTATGTCGGAAAAGGATTTTATATGAAGTTATTGTTCAATATATGAATCTTTGAATTTCATGGACCACGAAATTCATCTGTGACCGCGGTGCATCACGGTAAGTGGCAATGGGTCTTTAATAGACATTTGATTACATTGGTTGTGAGAATACACTAGCGTGTGGGAAAGTGAAATTGAATTGCCATCACTCCGTTCATCCGTCATATCCAATCCCATTCCATCCCTTCCCGTCCGTCCGTCTTTTTCAACCCGTTACTGGTAGAAAAAGAAATGATACTCAAGGACATGAAACGTGCATTAAAAGGGATTATTTCACAAGACCGAATTTAAAATTTTCTTTATTTGGCTTTGGAATTGTTAATCATAAAAAAATATTGGTATTTTAACAAGAAACTTGATTACATTTAATATTTCCTCATGTTTTTTTTTTGACGTTTTACATTCTCTGAAAAGTTGATTTAAATCTCGCACTTTCAGTGTTATGACATGCAGATATTAATTATAGTTCTCAAACTGTTCTTAACGGTATAACGTTAAAATTTGTTTTCTAATTCATTTTTTTGAGTTTTAAATATTATGCTTTAATTCATAATCATCTATCTTTATTTTTAGGAAAACCATTCTCTCCGACCGGTAATTTTCGTGGTTACTCTACTATTGAAAACGGAGAGACTGCGGCACTATTTTTAGCTCATCAGCACACCGATCAACGTTTCATTGCGTACAGTAAATATCTTTACATGCAAATATCCTCTCCCAAGATTATTCGATTGGTAAACCGGAATAATTAACAAGTCATAAATCTCAGATCTTGAGGGTTTCTTTTAGATGCAGTGCACGTCTTCTCGTGTTTTGGCTGCCATCCTTCAAATTTCCAATGGTCTGAGAACAAAGTTTCTATTGATTGATGGAAGCCCAAAAAACTTGAGTTTTGAAGTTTTGGGTGAGTAAGAAACAAATATAAAGGCAACGCACGCTTTCTTTTTTGATAATTGTCTAGTAATTTTGACGCACTCGGCTGGTGTATATCGCGTGACTTCACCGTGCTTCTCTAATGTGAAGTCTAAGAAGAGCTGTGCGTTAAAAATACTTCCTGCATTACATTCACTCATATTTACTTTCTAAAGAAGAGAATATCATGCGCAGCCCCACAAGTTACATATTTTTTATACTTTCTATAGGGCAAGCACAAATCATGCAACGGAAAACCAGTTAATCTACCTGTTCTGCTAAATAATAAAGTTCCAATCAACCTTGTAAATTGACCAGCACACATAGGCACACTCGTGGATAATGCCTGTAGGAGGGTCGGAGACACCTGAAGCTAGTGGCTCCCCGGGCTCAAAGATGCAGAAAGACTTCAGAGCTTCACAACCATCACAACATTTCCACCAGTGGAACAACCAAGCGCCTGCCATGATCAGTTCGACCACCATAGAGATAACAAGGAAACTGCAGAGAACTACAAAGGACTTGAAATTGTCTGCGATATCCCTTGGACTATCTGTCGTCCAGTAGTAGTAGTACTTTTCTCTCCAGGGATTTCTTTCTTTAGCCTCAGATTCAACCGCTATCGTCAGGCTTATTCCTGTCACGATAAATACAAGCTCGAGAAAAGCCAGTAGACGAACAAGGAGCAGGAAAAACAGAGGTCTCCGTATTTTAGCGAGTGAACTCGACAGATAACAGCTACAAGAAGACATGGTCAGGCCAAGAAGACAACATAGGATAGTAATGGCGGAGAACCAGTCCCTTAGGTCGCTGCTGATCCAGTATTTATGATTATTCCCCAGAAGAATAACACAGGAAAGCGTGAAAGAAGTCATGATTATAGCGGAGAAGAAGTGAGCGACGCTCCATCGTTTTGCACGTGTGAAGTTGATTTTTCCTCGTTTGATGCCAAAGTTTCCATTCCTATAAGCATCATTGTAAGGATCGTCTTCAACGTCGTCTTTTCTATCGCTAATCACTAATGGCTCGCATTCTGTACCTACATCAGTGAGTCCTGTTTGTGAGTAGCTATCAGTGCTTATGACTTGCACAGATTGGTTCTGGTTCGACTCGTTGTCTGCTTCTGCTTCGTTCTCCGCCATCTCAACTGAAGGTCAACAACAAAGAGCACAGGGTGCCCAATCGATAAAAATAGATGGCAATGGTATTTAATAGACATTTGATAACATTGGTTTTGAGAATAGACTTGTATGGGAAGTGAAAATGGACGTGCCTTCACTCCGTTCATTTATCATGTCCAATCCCACTTTCATCCATCCCCTCTTATCCCATCAAAACATCCTTCCGTCGTTTCATTCCATTCTATTCCGTCTTCAAATTCATCTATTCTTTTTTCCTTTTTTCTTCTTTTTGTATTTCCGATCCATTCATCTATCCATTTTCATCTGTCCTATCCATCCATCCATTCATCCGTCCGTGATCGAGAAGTCCATAACGTCTGCGTCCGTCCATCAGTCGGTTCGTCAGCTCATTCCATTTTATTTTTGCATCCATCTTTTGTATTTTCTTTTTTTCTTTCTTGTTTTTTGTTTGCCCCTTACTTTTTGCAGTTCGCCATACAGCCTCCATTATCTTTTTTTCCTTAGTCTCCTTTGCAGCCGTTCTTAGTGTCGGTCTAAAATCCCTCCCCACTTTAGGCCGTCACTAAGAACGGCTGTAAAGGAGACTACCACCGGTCAGCTCCTTGTAGGAGAATTGATTTAACTTAATACACCGTATGGTTTGTGATGTTTAGAAACTGACGTTTCGGCAGTTAGTCCTTCGTCGGAGTAAAGGACAGTCTCCTTGGCAACAAATGGTATCTTATTCTTCACGCAATCAAATATTTGCAACCAACAAGTTAATACAGTCAGTGTCGTGAACGTTGTACGCCGAAAAACACATTTACGCCACGAGCAATGTCACGTGATTGCTAATACACACTTGCTCTAAATGCTCGATACCAGCAGTCATTGTATACGTACAGGAGAGCATGAAGTATGTTAGTCTTTTTACATTTTTTGTTAAAAGTTTAATTTATCTATGAAGACTATATGAAAGCTATTCAATCAACTCATCGGACTTTGAAGACATTTTACTCTACGCAAGTCGGGAACTAAACATAGTCATTGAAGTTACTATCTAAATTCTGAAAAATAGATTTCAAAATAATTTTCATGGGTAGTGACCGATGTCTGGGAGATGTTTACTTCTTACTCTCTTCATAGTCTAAATACAAATTCTGCTCTATGGGGAAAATGCCCCCAGGCGTTATTGCATATGACACGGAGACTTAAATACCACGAAGTTCTGCCCAAAACAGTAAACGGTTGCTCTTCGATATTGAAACGAGTTTTAGTGGGACATGGGCGGATAGAATGAGATAAGCCGTCTTGATTTCCAGAAAGATCATGCAAGCAGATTTAAAAACACGCGCAATGTCTTGCAAACTTCGAGTACGGTTTCATTTTAGAAGCAGGCATATGAGACTGATGAAAATAACTAAAGAAATACAGGATGATAGTTAGATCTTGTTATTTCAAGATTTATCATTGACTGTATCAGACATTATTATCGCCATTGGAAGATAGAAGGAATGGAGGGCTAGATAAAAATGGGAAGAGGGCCATATCTTGTTATGTCAAGCCTTACGTAAAGTTCATACGTAAAGTTCATACTAATTTACATTATTTATTTATAGTTACTCATTATAAAGTAATATAAACAAATTATAGCGTGAAATTTCTTTCGATCTTTTAGTTAAGATTTACATAGTGGGACAGCCTTTTTGACAATGACTTTGAAGAGGGGAGAGGAGAGAGCCTAAACAAAAATAATATTCTCAAGAGAATGACACGTGGTCTGAAATGGGAGAACCTTACGCCAAAATAATTTGAGGTCGATGTGAATGTCATTTGCCTACTCTAGATATTCCAGAATGCTTTGCGATCGATCCCTTCATGCGCATTTAATGTGGAACTGAGCCTATAATGACCGAGGAGAAGTGTAAAAGCTTGAACTCTTGCTATAACAACGAAGTGGCAGGAGCGCTAGAGACGTGCTTTCTTCCTCAAGGTACGTACACTACCTTGTCATGTGTTACGACGTCGGTGTAGATGCGCGCTAACTCCAGACTCTCTGTGGATTTTTATAGCATATTACGACTTAAGTTACGACTTGATCTGTGCGCAGATCTTTTACTGTGTGTGATCCTGCAGTATGTACGGGTCTTTCTCCTGGAGCCTGCGTGGGTCTTGTTCGGTGTATGCAACCCGCCTTGATCTGTGCGCAGATCTTTTACTGTGTGCCCATATGTGTGGCAATATGTTGCGGGTCTGCTGCAGTTGGTCATAGCATTTAATCATTATTATTAATCATCTATGGTCTAAGGGCCGATGAGCCTCTCTTGTTATTTTTGATCAAAATGTTTTCTTGTTTAAAACTGTTTATCTTATTATAGTACACTCAACAAAATTACTCGATTCTGATTGGACAAGAGGAGTACAATTAAATCCCAAATTGTACTCTGTAAAGTCCCAATTAAATTCTTCAATTTTGTTGAGTGTATTATAAACAAAAAATCGCACAATCTTCTCGTACAATTCGGAATTCATAGACACTCGTAATGTTTTGAAAGTTCTCAAATTGTACTCGCCTTAAAGTCTCGTCCAACTTTGAAAACTTTCAAAACGTCACTCGTACCTATAAATTCCGAATTGTACTCGAGATCGTGCGATTTCCTATATTTATTTCCGAACCGTACGTGGGGTCTAGGTAGGTTAGGGACGAGGTATATTTTATTGGGGAGGTGGATGGGGCTTCAGAGTTAAGGTCATCAGTAAAAATCTAAAGTCTAACGGAGGGCGAAACCATTTTTTCTTTTGATGAAAGATAGTTCCTCGTCGACTTACAGTAATAGACGGGTCATAGTTTCTTATTGAGTGAAAGGCGAGGGTTAAAACCATTTTTAAAAAGTTTTCTGGGAATAAAAAACGCATCTTTCCTTACCAAGGTGGAAGCGGAAATTTACAAGTATAATAACGGATCCTTTAGATCTTTTAACATCATATGTAAAGAGTAGTCTGTGCTCTTCATCATTACAGTTTTTAGAGATGAAGTTTTAATTAAGAGTTTGGTCTTCAGCATGTTTCCTGAAACTAGAGTCAAGCAACAGCTGTATGGCTGCCGGGTCGCCCTCAAGGTCTTTAGAAAACCACTTATATTGTTATATGACGCAAATTGCCTCCTCTAATGAATTCCCACATCGACGGATATCCTGGTGTTAAAAATTACAATGACCTTGTATCTATTTAAAGAAAGAAGGAAAAGGGCATACTATAGGCGGCAATACGCGTCAATCAAAGTCATTACCCTGACGACCTGGGGCTTAATAATTATGCAGATTTTTCAAACTGAAATCTACGAACCGCGATCGGTTAGGTTGTGACTTAATTAACGAGAAATGTTCAAAACACCACGAAACTTATCGCTTATCTGTATAAGATGAATGAGTTTAGAAGCTTTTAACAGAAGGAGGGGAAAATGATTTTCAGCGCGCTGGACCAAGATTTTGTCTATTCGAACGGTAAGGCAACTCAACTCTAAACAGGACGATCGAAAATGTAGTTACTTTAAGGCTTTTAACACGATTGTATGATAATAACTTCAGCTCTTATTGTGATCCAAAAAGATTCAAGTTCATTATTTAGTAATTTTCCACTAGATTGGAATGTTTTAGCACTAAGCTGTAGTGTAGATTTGTTCATTTTTTATGTTTAGTTTAAACGGAAATTGATTTGTACAGGAAAATACGGATAATTCTTGCTCACTAAACATGAGTTTTATACATGACCACGTTTCGATAACTCTTGTTTTGTTAATCCAAAACAAACATTCGGGATCTATACAAGTTAAGATTAGAATTTCAAGATTCCTAGTTTATAACTTCGTATGATACTTGAAAACAATTTAGCGATAAAAATTTGGGAAGCTTTTGAAGTGTTTTGAAGGTGTAACCGATCGTGTAGATGAATCCATCGGACTTTTTGGCGCTTCTTTGGGAAATCTACAAACTGACATAGAAATGGGTTCTCTGCTGTTCTTTTTGATTAAGAATATTTATTAATGACATCCAAGTTTCTCATTTAAAGCCCATGTTTGTTTATTGTAGGCGTATTTCGTTTTGCCATAACTAAAACTCATTGGACCCTGTATTTTTACGCGTCTGTGAGCATACTATTATGAGAGATTTAAATTTGAAAACTTGAATTTATAATTAAATATTTCTTTTTAGAATTTGGAGGGAAAGTAGCACCTGTAGTTGCGAGTTTCGTCTCTCTGTGCACAGTTGTTGTCCTGTGTTCTTGGTGTTATAAATTTTGGAAAGGCAACGAGGAGAAAGCCGAGGAACTAAGTACAAGCTCCGAAAGCCTTACAAGCTCAACGCCTCTTCAAAGCAGCACTAAATACCGAGCTACGACCAGAAAATACCAACCATTAAGACAACATGATGCTCTACCGTACGATTCAAGCCCAGATCTCGATTCTCCTGTGTTGAATCGAAAATCGATTAAATTCAAAACGCCACCGAGTCATAGCTTTGAGATCAAGGCACCACAGCCAAATATATCTGAGATCGAACTTCCTCCCGCACCCCCTCCCCCCTTAGAAAGCTCCAATAAAGAACAACTAGGATGTATATTCTTTTCACTACACTATAACTCTGAAGATATGGTATTGACTTTGAGAATTCAAAAAGCTGTTGGTTTACCAGCCAAGGATTTTACTGGAACTAGTGATCCGTTCGTCAAAATTTTGCTCCTTCCTGATAAAAAACACAAACTAGAGACTAGAATCAAGAGAAAGAATCTTAACCCAGTATGGAATGAAGTGTTCACCTTTGAGGGGTATCCACATAATAAGCTTATGGGGAGAACACTTTATATGCAAGTGTTGGATTATGATCGATTTTCAAGAAATGACCCCATCGGCGAGGTTGAAGTACCGCTAGGAGAAGTGGGGTTAGGAACAGTTACTTTGAATTTGGCTAGAAATCTGCTACCATGCAAGAAATCCAGGGTGAGTTTATAAATCATTAATTAATCACGTATTATTAATCTTTATCATTATTAATTTATCATGTTTTATTAATTTTCTTTATCATCATAAATTATCAATAGGGGATGATAATAAATCTAAAATTCTGCTGTGCATTTATTTTGTAAAGTTTATAAGTTATTAATTAATCATGAATCTATAATCTTAATTATTGTTATTAATTATTGATTTATTTGGAATACATAATGAACAGACAAAATTGTGCTGTGCATAATGTTTGGGAATTATTTTTTGTATAAGTTTATAAATACATTTTTCATGAATGATTAATCTTCTTTTACTGATATTCATTAATTATCAATCTATTTGGGATACATAATTTTTTGAAAAAAAGTAAGTTGAAAAGAAATATGAGTTGTTGGATAACTCAAAGAGAGAAGTACAAACAGGACTAATATATTATATAATATATTACATATATTATTATATAAGTACCATGCAAGGTACTATCATGATTATACCCCATACCCTTTTATGGGAAGCACATGTGGTGTGTGCTGCTAATGAAATGCCTCTCACCAATGTGACCCGGGTTTGTCAGCCCTGACGGGGCTCGGTGTCATGTGAGATGAGTTGTTTATGATTTTCTCCACTGTGCTTCAAGGGTTTTTCCTCCCTCCTCAAAAATCAACTTCTAAATTCTTATTCCATCTATCGGCTGCCTTATCAATTGGTCCACCCAGGAGTGGTAAACACATTACATATTATAACAAATTATGAAATATATAATAGCTAAAGGCAAGGACAAGTATGAACCAAAGTCCAATTTCATTGACATTCACTGTTGAACAGTTCTGCTTTTTTCAACTTAAGAAAAACTCTTTAAGAAAATTTCTAGTACAGTCCTTAAACTATCTGGGGGGAAAAATGGTTCTAATCATCAAAGTGCTACTCTCTGACGAAAATCGCTCAAACTTGGATTCAGCTGTAACTTCCTAAGAATACTCTTTGAAGGTCCAGTAATCACTGTATGAAGTGTTTTCTTGATATTCAGGACGAAAGTATGATATTTTTACCATTATTTTTTGGAGTCTGTGACATCATATTAAATGTCTCGAAGACCAGACAGATTTAAAATTCTGCCTGTGAGAGATTTTTTTGAGAATCATTATTTTTCAGGTGATTATTTTTTAAATTATTAATAGATGTTCAACATATATAACTTACACTAATTATTATTAATGATTTTGTTATGAGCAGAACAGAATTTTTAATTGAAATTTTTTCATTCAGCACCACGCTTAAAACCATTAGAATACACCCACACACACAATCAAATATCCTAAAAATTTCACCTCCCACACACCCTTTTCCTACATGAAAAAAAAGAAAGAACAAAATGCAGACCTTCAGAGAGGATACCTAAGAATATACACGTGTATATTTTAAATGAGTATGTGAAATGCTCCTAGGCGTTATGTGGATAAATAAACTATTATTATCATTATTATTATTATACACCCTTCTCAGAAGTACTTCCAATTTTATTGAAATATTCTCATAGACTGTGTTATATAAATTTTATATTTAGAGTGCACGCACTAAAACCGTGAACATTAAATAGCACTAATTAGTACTATTTCATACAGAATCCTTTCTTTTCTATTGTTTAATTATCACTATTTAGTGCTAAAAATCAGTATTTGCTTCACGGATTTAGTGTGAGCACTCTAGTATGTTTAATACATTTTATAGTTTGAACTACATAATTTTTTTTGCTGCTTAATAGAGGTATGAATTAGTCCAATATTCCTCTTTAAGGCTTCTGACAACTAAAAGGAATAAATGAGTGGAAAAACCCTCTCTGCAAGGGCAGATCCAGGGGGGGGGGGGGCAAAGGGGGGCTGAGGCCTCCCCCTTCAGCAGAAAAAAACATGCTTTTTTATATTGTTTTCCGTTGTGTTGACGGAAGAATTAGTGCAAAAACCCTCTTTTGGACTTTGACAAGTGGTTTTAAATTTGGCTGCTTGATAGAGGTATTAATATGTTAATGCAAAAACAAAAACTCTTTGGTAATTGGATATTATTGTACTAAAACAAATGCATTGTAGTAGATAATTTTTTAGCACCGTAAATACGAAAGATAATAGACTGACCTTTCGGACGTTAGTCCTTCGTCGGAGTCCGACAAAGGACTAACATCCGAAACGTCAGTCTATTATCTTTCGTATTTACGGTGATAAAATTATCTACTACAACATATTTGTTTCAACTAAAAAACACCAACGCAGTCCAAACTAGTTCCAAAACCAGTCGTTATCTATTATTGTACTATATTAATAAATATTATTTTATTATTATTACAAGGTGCCACTGGGTGATTTACTAGTATCTCTGATGTACCAACCAACTGCAAACCGCATAGTAGTAGTCGTCATGAAAGCTAATAAACTCAAAGCTATGGACCTAACCGGCTCCTCAGGTACTTATTTATCTTTATTAGTAATTATTAAATTATTGTTTGTGATGACTAAAGGAAAGCCTTACTTTCCCATACTCATACCTCTTGCTGCCATCAATGGAAGTGAGGGACTGGATATTTAATTATATTTAAGAGTGGAGGAGGTAGGGCAAAGATTTTAGTTGATAGATAATTGGAAGTAGGGGAACCAAGGGCGGATCCAGGGGGGCAAAGGGGGGAAGAAGCCCCCCTTCCGCAGAAAACAAAACAAAACAAAACTGAAGAATTAGATGCTTTTTTAATTGTTTTCGTCGTGTTGATGGAAGAAACTCAACTAGCCCCCACCCCCCCTAAACTCAATTAGCCCCCCTAAGATTTTGGCTGGATCCGCCCTTGGGATCATCAGAAAGATGAGAACTATGGGGGAGGGGGACTAATGCTTGTTCTGGGAAATATGTTGGGAAGTGGAGTAGGGAGCAAAAACTTGCATCACAGGGCATAGCACAGCATACATTGGCTTACACTCTATCTTTAGTAAATGATAAATCAGGATCAATGAGAGCTCAGTAACAATGATGAAGATTGTATCCAAAGTATAGTAATAATGAGCAGGTTAATATTTCTTTATATTAATAAATAAATTATTATTGAACTGCTAGATCCTTATGTGAAGATTCACACTATACATAACGATAAGAAAATAGACAAGAAAAAAACGTCAATCAAAAAACGTACAAGGGATCCAGTTTGGAATGAATCTTTCATATTTAGTGTACCGCTTGACAAGATACGCGATATATCATTTGTATTTTCTGTCATGGACTACGATCGCATAACGCAAAATGAACTGATTGGCCAAGTTATACTTGGGTATCGAACCACTGGAAGTTCGCTTCAACAATGGACAGAAATGATGAATAATCCACGGAAACCAATCGCAAAGTGGCATCGATTACAACTCTATTGAAAAGCATGTTAACTATTAATGAACAATACAATTATGTACGTGATAGATATTTTCAGCTCTGTACAACAGATGTTACCAAACTGAGTTTTCATGCCAGAAAAACATGTCACTCATGCCTCCAAACATCTATGACTCCGCCTACAAACATCAAGATTTTAGTCTGCATTCTCTTCTTCATGTGTTGGCTTTTTTCATAACCCCCCCCCCCCCCAAATTATCAACATGTTGCCGATGTGTGGAGAAAGGAATGCAGACTAAAACTTTGATGTTTATGGTCATAACCGTTTAGAGGAGTGATCCTGGCATGTTTTTCTACAGTATAGTGAAAACCCAGTTTGGTGACATCTGTTGTACGAGTAACAAGGAGATGATGATAAAATATTTACAAATATGTGTCCCTGAATTCGGGTTACCATAACCCGATTGAACCAGAAACTCCAGCTTTAAGAATTTAATTTGCAGCCTTTTAAATGGTATATGGTGCGTATGGTAAAGGCAATTGGACTTTATGACTCAGATTCTCTGTGGGTGGGAGGACATTTTTTTATTTTATCTGGGTTTTTGGCATCTGCTGATCAAAAAATACTCACTCAAACCACTGAAAATTTGTAGCAGAAAGTCTAAAATTCAGATGTCTTGAATTATATATTGGTTGATTTGGGTTGTGTGTTATGAAAGTGAGTAAAAAGACTGTTGTTAGTGATTGAAATGAGTCAAAAGTTGAATTTTGAAAAATGCCAGCAAAATGCAATAGACCTCTTTACTTTGGGTGTAATGTTTTTCCAATTCAGATTACCTGTCATTCGTTCACTAGAGTATTATTTCTTTGTTTAATGGTTGCACATGATTGAAAAGGCACATGAATATAGACCCCTAGCAGCACTTTAAAATACAGCTCAATAATAATATTAATAATAATAATAATATGTTCTTATATAGCTCAATCTGGGGAACAAAACAATAGGTTCCAATTGTCAGGAGATTGGAATCTTTTGTTTTGTCCCCCAGATCGAGCTGCTTTGACATCACATGCAAGGGGTCAATAGATGCAACTGAAACACAGAATCTTATTCTCAAGAGAATGACACATGGTCGTCTGAAATGGGTAAACAATACACCTAAGGTTTAAAAGGAGCTATTGATTATCCAATGGGTTATTATTCCCAAAGTATCAATGATCAGGTGCAAATGTAGCCACCTCAGTATTTATAATTTTATTGAAGGGATAATGGTTTTTGTGTGTAAATAATACGAGTTAAAAACTCTTTCAGTCATAATGTTAATAAATAGTTTTGTGATAATGAAAGATATATTAAAATCATACGTGGATAATGGAAATTATAATAGTCCATTTTCGAGTTCCAAATTACCCGCGCTGTATTTCTTGATTATGGACTCATTTACTCAGGCTTGATTTTCTGCAGAATATTCACGTGTTCCAGTCAAGGTCCGTCGAGTTTCAAAGTGTTTGTATTGTTGAAGTTGTGCATTCTTTACTTTACCATTGGTATTTGTGAATATTTAGACACTGATACGAGGCTAACACTGTGCAAAGGAGTCTGTAATCAAGGAACACAGCGGTAATTTAGGGACTCAAAAATGGTCTATTCTATCAGTTAGATAATCACTCACAACATTCTAGGAAAATTGCGGCATATATTATTGCAGAGAATACTCATAAAATGATTTTCCATGTTGTAACTGCAGAATGTAGTGGTAGTGGGTGTGGAGGAAACCTCACTGTAGAGCCCCATATATATGGGGAGGGAGTGTTGGTTGTAAAATATAAATATTTTATATAAATTTCTTGGAAATAAAATCACTTGAGTCATGCCCAATTATTTTTAACACATCTCTATTTAATGAATAAAAAAATATAGTTTTGAATGGTAAAATACTGTAGATGGTTTGTAAATTAAATAAATATTAATATTAACAAATAAAACACATGGAATAAGAATGAATTGATTTATTTTAAAAGAAAAACAAAACAAAAAATTAAAATACACACAGCTATTTCACAGGTTAATAAGCAAAACCACTCTAATGCCCCATTCACATCAAGGCTTAAACATGTTTTAAAGTGGTTTAACTAAGAAAACAGTGCACAATATTTGGTGAAATAATGCATGTAAACTATCCTTTGTCTTGCTCTGATAATATTTTACAAAGTTTCATTATATTGTAGGTTTCTAGTTTCTCAATTTTTTTCCTAATGAAAACATAGTTTAACTAAACACGTTTAGGTGTGAATAGGGTATAAGATTACTACCCTCTGTTAGTCTACTAACTATTTCACAAACCATTTGCGTCTTTGCGTAATGAGTGTTCTGGGTTGAGTGATAGCAACTATTAGTCACTAAATAGAGGCTTTGCACCATCATGTGATGGCAGCCATCACAGGAGGCAGGAACAATAGCGCAGCGCAACCGTGACGTCATAAAAACCAAGACAAAGGCGAAATTTGGACAAACAAACTTACAAGTTTACTTTCAGCAGATAATTTTCACAGCCAATCGCAGTTGATTTTAGTTTACATGGGTTATTATTGTAACTTTAAGTAAAATAATAAAATCGGTTCGTATGATCCTCGTAGCGGTTAAACAGAATGCAATGTTTGTCCGAATCTTTAAGCTATTTTTAGAATCAGTGCGCTGCGCTATTGAGTCTGGTTGAATCTGATTTACATAAGGAAGAATTCATGTTTCCCTGGGGAAAAGACTATTGTTGTGCCTCCTGTCATGGCATCCATCACGTGATGGTGCAAAGCCTCTATAGTACTATTTATCAGTATCAACTTTGTTGTTATTTCATGGTTTTACTGCATGCACTCTAATTAAATCACTCTATACTTGTTAAATTACATTTTTTAGTTCCTCCCAATTTATGATATTTATTAATTATTATTATAAATAATAATTAATTATAATACTATTTATTGCTAACTTTGTTGGTATGAGAATGTTATCTTTATAATCTGCTGTTCTTAATTGCATGTGCCGTCAGATTATAACAGCAGACAATCCAAGGGCAGATATTGAGGTGATATTGGGGTGAATTGGGTATCTAGTTGCGGCCCCTTTGAGTTGAAAAATAAAAAGAATACTATGTAATAAAGTCCCAGGTAACAGTCACCAACCTTGAATTGTTCTAAATTCGCCACTGAAATCCCATATTCTAAATATTATCCCATAATATCCTTCACCCTACTACGCAAAAATTAAAAAAACTTAAAGCAAAAATAAAAAAAATTAAAACACATGCTATTAATAAATAGAACAAAGAAGTGCAAATTCTTGCTAATGTTAAATAATGCGTATTATTTTGTAAAATTGTGCTTATAGCTCATATCTTAATTGCTGTGAGATTTAATTCATTACGCAATGCCAATGCGGCTTAAAATTTAAAAATTCTAGCTTGAGGCTATTGCATGTTCTGTACTAGTTGTTATTCATGTTGGACATAATTTTACTTTTTGGATGGAATTTTAACTAGTGCCAAACATAAAAATGTCTAACGACAGGTTTTTTCTGACTACTAGTAAACTTACTCTAACTTAACATTATAATGCTATTTTAGAACAAGAGAAAAGAGATGTAGATAGATATAATCAGTTAGAGACAAACAGGAGAAGTATTTGAGCTTTCATTCTCTTTATAAAGGAATCGTTTGTGATTTCAGATTTACAGTTGATATTGATAGATAACTGGTGCAGTTATAGAGCATTTTCATGTGACGTCACAGCGGCCATTATGGGGTACCAAAGCAATACATTTTCTATCCTCCGGGTATTGAACTCTATTTTTATGCAAATACTGTGCAGAAAGTTTCTATTGTTTATGGCTGCCTTCTCACGTGAGTGAAAATGCTCTATTTAAGCCTTCATTCTCTTTCTAAAGGAACAATTGTGATAACTTACTGTAACTTAACGTTGGAATTTTATTTCAGATCCATAGCTACATGTAGAATAAGAGAAGAGAGGTATAGATAGATAGATATAAAGTTAAAAAGACAACAGGAGCATTATTTAAGCCTTCAGTCTCTTTCTAAAAGGATTGATTGTGATTATGGATTTTTATCATAAAACTTTTTGAATAGCTTGGGAATTTATTTTCAAATTAATTGAAAAGAAATTCTTTTATTTATTTATTTTTGCGATCAGGTATTAAATAATTTGTTTCTTTTCAAAAAAATTGTGATGATGCTGAAAAGAAAGCTATCAAAACTGATCGTCTGTGGTGTATTTTCAACGGCTGTGGATTGTGAATTAATGATTGAAAACCACATTGAATGAAAGGACTCTCATGGTCAAGTGATAAGGCATTGTCAACATCTTGACTTAAAATATAGTTGATAGATTTGAAATCAACCTTGATATTAGTCAAGTTCAACCTTCAAAAAATGATACAAACATATATTGTATACGACATATAATCATTTTAATGTCCTATTGTGTATTCTACATATAGCACATATGCCTTTAGCAATTGTTTAAATACGTGTAAATATTAAAAATAAAATAAACAATGATTACGAAAATAAAAGCAAAATAAAGAAATGAATAAAGGAATGAATGAATAGAAAAAAGAAAAGGAAGGAAAGAATAGAGAAAAGGAAAGGAAAGGAAAAGAAAGGAAAGGAAAGGGAAATTATAGTTGTAAACAAAATTAATAGCAGAAGATATTAAAATATGAAACAAAAAAAATTGATTTTAAAAGAAACATTTAAATACAATGAAAAATCGAGGAAAAATATAAATGGTGCAAAATAAAATAAACCTATCATTGACACAAAATAACAACCATCAATTTCTAACCAAAATGATAAATTTTCTGTGGTTAGTATGATTAATTATTATCATACAAACTCTGTTAGACTGTTATCTTTGGTTATTTTATGGTTAAATGAGGTCTTAATAGGATTTTGAAAATTGATGGTTTTCATAAAACAGCTGTTGAAAATACGGACAACCACAGAACAGAGGAAGGAAGGAAAAAAATAGGACATTCATTATCAAATGATTCATGAGAGTTTAACAGCAATTAAAATTCATCCCCACTTGGAAACAATTTTCAGTAAAGATGTTTTTGAAAGTGTCTTTTACTTTTTGAATATCATGGATTTTTTTCCCTTTAGGCAAAGGTTTTTCAATTTTATTTCATTTGCTCAATTATGTTAATATGAATGAATGGTATGAATGATACATGAAAGTTTATGATAACACTTAAAAGAACAATCGAATAGAATACTCTAGAATAATTTGTCTCAATTTTTCCCCTTAAAACAAGGGTATTCCTTTAAGTTTCTTTTTGTTTTTGAGAAGCCAGAAAAAAACCCTTGGACCTAACAAACTCTACACACATGTGGATACTGGGTTTAGGAATCAAACCAGAGACCCCAAATGTGAGAGAAGTCAGTGTATTGCTTCTACACTATACTAATTTCCCTCACAGCCACTATTAGTGTTGTGAGCATACAGCAACAATAGCAGCTGTGTAGAAGACTAATGCTATCCTGATTCATGACATTTCCATTAATTTTGCAAAAGAAAAACACACCTAGCATGTTAACTTAATTCAACAACGACAACTAATAATTTATATACACATTTGTTAAATGTTTCAAATGTTTCAACAATTTGGATTAACATTGACTTTGGGGGGGGGGGGGGCTGAATGAAATTCTATCGATTTTGTTAAAAATATATACAAATACCAACTTTTCATGTTTTCTACAGAAAAGCTAGAATTTTTTAATCGGTACGAATCATTTTTACTCATGCAATCTAGGGGTTATTTACACTCCCAAGATTTAAATCATGGCTAAAATATGCAGCCCGTAAAGTCCTCCACTGCATTGTAAAGCGCATTGAGACATTGTGAAATGCGCTATAGAAGAACTGGTTATTATTATCACTACTATTATTTACTTTAACTGTGGTTTTCAATATTAATTGTTGTTAGTAGTAATATTTTCCTATTCTCTTTATAACGCCAAAAAAGTGGAGAAATGTTAAATGTAAAAGTTTACGAAGCATAAATGTTTTCGAGCGTAGCTCTTTCATCAGATGTGCAATTTGTGCAATATTAGTTGAAAATACAAAAGGTACAGACTGAATATTTTCAGTTGACGGAAACGAAAAACCAAATTTCAGCGTGCAGTTTGTATTTACTGTGTCCACATAATATTGCATGAGAACTGCAGTAACCTAATGAAGATAATTTTCCTATTTTAGAGTATTAATTTCCCTTGAGTATGGTATTTTTGTTTAACCATATCAATTATTTCAAAGACTTTAAGTCCTTTGCTTAAAGTTCTGTCTGTCATTACCTAGTCTCATTATTATCAAGCAACTTGGTAATTGTTGTCAAGATGTTATATGAACCTGGAGAACTCTAGTCCTTCTGAACCCTTCTGATGATATCTAGTCTCATTATTACTGACCATATCATTGTGTGAACAGACATACTGTAGACTTGGTAATATTGTTGTCAAGATGTTATATGAACCTGGAGAACTCTAGTCCTTCTGATGATAGCTAGTCTCATTATTACTATCATTGTGTGAACTGATATATTATTTATAAACTTGATTGGTATCAAGCCCTGACATTGGACTGAAGAGATGAAGTCCAAGCTCTGTCTGTACATCTATTCTAGTCTTGTCTAGATCATATCTGAGGGTAAGTTTGTCCACTTCTGAGGTCTTTAGGTGACTTACCAAATGATCCATAAGCATCCATGCCACCAGAAGATGACCCATATGGCGAGATAAGTGGTCTTTCTGCTGGTGGAGGGTCATCATAAAGGTGTTTGTAGTTGAAGCTAGTACCACGAGGACGGAATGCTGAAGTGAAATTCTGGAAATAATTGAGGCAAACAATATTAATGAACAATACTTTGAAAAATATTTCATGCATAAAATTAATATATTTTTTTATTAATTTCTTTTTTCATTGATTGATTCATCCATCCATTCATCCATTCAATAATTCATTTTTTAATTCAATGATTCACTTGTTTACAAGTTCATTTGTTCATTCCTATGTTTATTCATTCTTTCATTAATAAATGTATTCACCCACTCATTCGTTTATTCACTCATCCATCCATCCATCCATCCATCCATTCACTTATTAAGGTAACATGTACCCTATCATGCAGGTAACACACAACTTAACCCACCCTTGAGT